AATACCGAACAGTTAAGGTCGTTTTCGCCTCGAACCCCACCAAGGTGGTTAGTGCGTCCTTTCCACTCTGAAAATTTGTACTAAAAGTGCCCAAAAAATAAGGTGACATTTGAATTTAAACTGCGCGCGTCGAAGGATTTGGAGAATTATTTTTTTTTTACGTTGGTAGTACTGTCATTCACATTTATGTCAAATTTCATGTCAAAATATTCATTAGTGTTGGAGATACGTGTCGTTTTGTGAGCTGCTAAAAGTGAATTTTTCGTTTTTTGCGATGTCGAAATTTGTTGAGCAAAGAATTTGCATTAAATTTTGTTTACAGAATAAATTTTCTGCTGCGGATACGTCAAGGATGGTGCAGAAAGCCTTTGGTGATGAGGCTATGTCTAAAAAAATGTTTACAAGGGGTATAATGAGTTTCAAGCCGGCCGTGAACGTGTCGAAGACGAAGAGCGAGCAGGGCGACCATCAACCTCAACCGACGAAGCTCACGTTCAACAAATCAAACATTTGGTGTTGAAAACTCGTCGATTAACAATTAGAGACCTTGCTGATGAAGTTGGCATATCGAAAGGCTCAGCCAATACCATTTTGAAGGATGTTTTGGGGCCTCAAGCGCGTCAAATCTCGACTGGTACCGAAAACATTGAATTTTTTGGAAAAAAGGCGTCGCGTTGAAGTGTGCGAAACGATGCTTTCCGACTACCAGGGTATCATAAAACGCATTATAACTGGCGATGAGACTTGGATCTATGCTTACGACCCCGAAACAACCGATCAATCGAGCGAATATTGTGCCAAAAGAGAGCAGAGACCAAAAAAATCGCGCCAAAGTCGCTCAAAAATTAAGATCATGCTGACTGTTTTCTTCGATTATCGTGGTGTTGTGCATTATGAAYTCCTTCCAACCGGTCAAACAGTCAACAAGGAATATTATTTGAACGTTATGGGCCGTTTGCGTAACGCTATCCGCCTAAAAAAGTCGGAATTGTGGAAAGACAATTCTTGGTTTTTACACCACGATAATGCACCATCCCATACTGCCCTCKTAATTCGTGATCATTTCRBCAAAAACTCAACCCATATCGTTCCGCAACCACCGTATTCACCTGATCTGGCGCCGTGCGACTTCTGGCTGTTCACCAAGCTCAAAAGACCGCTACGGGGACACCGATTTTTTTACGATAGAGGAGATTCAAGCCGCAGCGAAGACGGAACTGAAGGCCATCCCGGAAAGTGACTACAACCAGTGTTTCGAAGATTGGAAAATCCGTTGGCATAAGTGCATTGSATCGGGAGGGGATTACTTTGAAGGGGATGAAATTGATTAGGAAGAATAAATAAAGAATTTTCAAAATAAATAAAATGTTACCTTATTTTTTGGGCTATGAGAAGTTTCTGAAATAGAGGCCCAATTTTTAAATCGCTTCTCCACTATACTTTTTTTCGCTTCTGAAGGATTTTTTTGAGTGAGTTATCGAACTTTTAACAAATTTCGTCATAACCGTTATACTCGAGTGAGTGTGTTTATCTTCCGATGAAAATGGGGGAATTTCACGCTGTTAGAGGAGGTGTCAAAACAAATTCTCCTTAGAAATTTTGGTTAATTTAGCTTTGATAGTTTGTGTGAAATGTAAATTAAACTTATTAAGGGACGGAGCCACGCCCACTTTTTCATCATTTTCAACCCACTGATGTCCCCCACCAAATTAAAGTCTTGTATACTAATTTTACTGTTAGTTAAAGAACTTTAGATAAAATATCAACTACCTGAAGAAGTTATCGCTTCCGCGGACGGACAGACATACAGTCAGTGGGTTAACTACCTAGGGGCTAGGCGGAGCAGTACCCCGGAGCCCTCGAATCATTACCTGAAATCTCCATCGAACTGAACTTTTGGAAATTTCTTCCATTTTCAAAATAAATATGGCAGGTTGCAACCCTACTTTAATCATGAAAACTCAGTTGAGATAAATTCAAAAGTTAAGCCCCTAAATTCTTTCTGTAGGTTGGCAATTTGACGTTTTATTATGAATTCGAGTTAAGATTTTTTTCGAGATCGATTAAAAAATTTATACTGTATCAGAAGTAAAGTGAATATCAATATACTTTTCGGTACTGGTAATACAATATAGTGGTTAAATTTTATTTGATCTTACCACTCATATTGATGTCCGTTAAGTCAATAAATTGTGTCAAATTTATGTATTTCGTCTACAGCTCAATGTACAACGCAAAATATCGTGTAAAACGCAATAGGTACATTAATTCAGATTATTGCAGATCTTCGTTATTTTGATATTATCAAAGCATTTTTAGAAATAGTTCTAAAGAGTCCTAGTAAAGATGAGCTTTACAAAAATGCAACCTTCAATTTGGGCGAGGCAAGTAAAGGTTTAGCAGTGACCAAAGTAAAGTTCAAAATTTATAGAAATAAAAATATGGTATTAATACCCATTTACAAGAAAAAAAGGCAAGAAAAGTTAAAAAACATTTTAATGATTTAGGAGCTGATCACCGATTTCCAAATCGAAAAAAATATTTATTTCATTTCCTAACACCAACATTTTTCATACAATTAAGTTATAATGAACGCAACTTCATTATTCAGAAATATTCAGATATAATAGGCTCTAGTTTTTCACTTCGTATGGTTAATATTTACCAGCTAGTTTTACCTCAACTAACTCAAGCACGGACTGTTCACCAATTATGTAAGAAATAATGAACAAATTATATAACGGAAGTTTTTACAGCAATGTTATTATTCTTTAATTAATTGTAGTTTATGTTGTTACTGTTTAATACCTGCGCTACAGTTCATTTTAGCATTTCTCATATTTTATATTTCATAATTTTATTCGACCTAATCAGTTTACATAGCAGTGGGCCCATTTTTGAAATTGCCCCAGGTCCCTTAGTTACGTAGCTACGCCACTGCATACCGTCACTCGGTATTCAACTCGACACGCCCTCCTGGTGGTCTATTTATATATAGATTGTTTTTAGGCGACACAAACAGCCGTTAGGTAGACAAACGTATTAAGTATCAACACGTTGCGAGGGCATAATAGTAGAAACTGAACAGAAATATGTTGCTTATACGTAGTGTGGTACTGTGAAAGCTGCGTTGATTCGAGAGTCATATATATATACATACACATATATTTTTTCAATTGAAACAATTACGCACAAATACATTTGTATTCATTTACTTGCATTGCTATATGGATTTTAAATTTCATTAGAAAATTAAGAGAATGCACTTTTGCAATAACTGACCCAAATTTGAAATAATTTGACGTTTATTCTACTTTACAACCCAAATAACGCAAAATGCCACGACATGAAGCCCTATTATGAGCATGTGATGGTATGCCCAAATACTGTATGATCAGGCAGTAACTACATAAAATGAATATTAATTCACAAAAAAGGCAAGCCAAAAATGTGCCTTTATGAATTACATTTTTTCATAATATTTGTTATTTGGTACCTAGTGTAGGTTTTTACATAAGTATGTATATATCAGACTTTTTTCTTTTTCTGCCTAATTTTTTAATACACACATATATACCTACACATCCATAAGTATCATCAAAGCTATGCAAGTGCAGAATGAGTTTATGGACGAAGTCTGCATACTTTTCAAATTTTTTTACTTCAAAGGCACTCACTCTTATGCTTGAACTTATACACAAATCCCCATCAGTACATAAAAATATTAATATCTCCGTAATAAACTTATAATACACACCTAGTGTGCATGTGTATATGTACTAAATCTATTTGTGCATATTTTGTAATGGTCGCGAGGAAAAATATGGCAACGGAACTCGTCTACCACACGTAAACCGAAAAGAAACACACTCATTTCCACACCCAACCATCACCTGTATAAATTTGGTAAGTAAGTTAGGTTTCGATTTCATAACCAAAATTGTTAAACAAATTCGAGTTCCGCATGGAGTGCAAGTTAATGGTATCAATGACAGTGGTTCCAAACACCCACAACTAAGTAAAAAATTGCTGCCACAACTTGGCTACCCAGTAACCAAAAGTGTGTGTGTTTTGTAGTTCAACAACAGAAAATTGGCACAAGCATAGCGTTTGACGACAGCCAATTGAATTATGTTCGCTGAAATATGTGTGCGTGTATGTATGTGTTCAAGAGTATTTGTAATTGTAATGTGGTTGTTGTTACTGTCTCACGCATTGCATTTCTTTCGATTGACGCGCATTTCTTCACTTGACGTTTCGACTGTTTACGTCCGATTTGTTGCTTTTGCCGTTGGCTGAAAGTAGTCGCGTAAGAGTGCCGCTCTTGCATACTAAGTAGGCTGAGCAGGCGTACACTCACACTAACTCACTTGATTTGGCTGCAAAGCATTGACCATCGTTTTCATTTACGCCGTTCTTTACTCAAATATTTCACTATGTAGTAGTAGTAAATAGTAGTAGTGGGTAAATAGTGATATTGGAGTGACGATTCATAGCCAAGTTTAAGTTTAGCCGCGCACATGGTAAAAGTGTTATTGGCAATGGAAATGAGTTGCGGCGTTGAAGAATTCACACCCTTACATCATGTAAACTTATACCGTTTTATCCCTTCCCCCATAACTGCTTCCAAAAACTGTTGCTTTGTGACTCAAATGAAAGCTACACTTCATCAGCAAGCAGCAAAAGTTCCGAAATCGAAGCCAAAAACATTTCAATGTGTCGGTTTTTTGGGCAAACCTAGTAAGAGTGGCGCTATTGCCACACCAATCGTGCTGTTGCCGTTGTCCAAAAACGTTCACGCGTACCTGAAGTGTCCAATGAAGCGCGTCTTATATGCAATTTAGTAGTGGCTTTCCCTCCCAACTCCCACACCAGTGCGGCCGCTGCTTCAATGTTTACTTGGCCTCTTCAACCGCTAGTCGACGAGCATACTCTCTGGCCGTTTGCCGCCGGCTTGAGGCTTCTGGGGAGCGGCAGTATAAAACCATGAGTATACGACCAAGTGGATATCATTGTCTCATTATCGATTCTGTAGTGAACACACAGCAATCTAGTAGCCAGTCATCGCATAACGGTCACTGAAACGCGTCGTTCACTATCTCAATTTCTTTAATTTCTTTCCCCTCAAAACTGATTTGAGTTTGTATCGAAATGGCGTTCCATTTTACGTCCTTGATCGCGTTCGGTTGTTTATTGCTCGTAGCCGCTTCGCCAATCAATGCTGCCGCCATTGATAATTCTGTGGCAGAGCCCCGCATACGCAATACGGATGAGCTGCTCACCACAATTGTGGATAAGTGTTTCCATGCCAATGGACTGTATTGTTTGAAAGAGAAAGTTTTGACCTATTTGGATGGTGTGGCCGGAGTCGAGGAGGATATTAGTGGACGCGCTTTCAATGAAGATATCATCGATAAAGTGATCGTCGATCGTGTTGGCCGAATCTTAAATAACAATGAATTCCGCCTGCGCTTGCCCGAAACCGGATTCGGCAGCTCAATCGTCAGCTATAGTACTGCGCGCGGTTTTGACGTGGAAGTGCCCGAGACTGGAGGTGAGTGTGAACAAGAATTAATAAGGGAGGTTAATAGGTAATTTAGGAAGATTTATAACGTTCAACGATTAAATTGGCAATTTCAAAAGAAAGATTTAGCTTCGTATTCTAAGGAACAATACAATGAATTACTTTAGTAATAGCTAGCAAATTGGAAGAAACTTGAATACCAACGTAAGATGTTGCTAAAAACTGCAGAAACATAAATGATCTTTAAATTCTTATAATACTATATTTTTCCTTTTTTTTTTTTTTTTGTGTCTTAAATTTATAGCTCGCGGCGAGAAGAAGAAGGATAAATTGCTCCTTCCTCTGTTGTTGCTCATGAAACTGAAGTTGAAGGTCGTCATGCCAATTCTTTTGGGTCTGATTGGACTCAAAGCATTCAAGGCTTTGATTTTGTCGAAAATCGCTATTAAACTGGTACTTGGCTTCCTTATCTACAACTTGATCACCAAATTATCCGGTGCTAAAATGATGATGATGCCGGCACCCATGCCAGCGGCCGAATACGGTCCACCCAGCACTACCGCCTCTTCATACGACCCAAGCAGCTGGGAACCAGCCAGCGGTGGCCCATATGCCCGCTGGGACTCACAGAGCCTCGCATACAGCTCATACCACCCCAGCTCTAGCTCATACAACTCCGGCTCCAGCTCCACTGGTTCATCGTCCAGCTACAGCTCATCATCGTAAATGAAAGTAAACACAGCACATCTAGAATTTTTACTCCAAAAATTTATTCGGTGGACCTTATCACACCAACCTGTACATAAGTATACATAGAAAAACCAAGGAAAACAAAACTAAGAGATTATAGTATCGAAAAATCGGAAACTAGGAAAAGGAAAGGACTAAGACATACGCTGAACTACCATTTAATCCATTTAGTATATTTATTAATTGTAATTTATTTTTATTATTTTAAGTATTTAGTCATTCTACTATGTACTGTGCTATCACTTTTCCAACTTTCCATTTAGTACTCTCTCTAAAATTTTCTATTTTAATATTTTCACTTTAAACTTTTTATCTATAAAATCCCCACTTTTATTTCGAATTTCTATTCTTCCACACGCTTTCCTTTTTTCTAGTGCTTTATTATGCATTAACTTGCATCTTTTGTTAAATATTTACCTTCTTTCTTTTGGAAAAACTCCGACCAAAAATCAAAATCCAAATAACTAAGTTAATATTTATTTTAATTTATTGAGATGCAAACGAAAAATTAAAAATAAAAATAATAAAATGAATTTTTAAATATTTTGAGTTTTCTTTCACATCCAAGGATATCAATGCAATTCTCCAATTTAAAAATATTTTGATTTGAATAGTCACTGACTTGCTCACTGAAGCTGTTGCTTTCCAATTACTTTACATCTTTTCACTAAAGATTTTGAAATTTTATTTCGAATGCATGACGGCAGTAAAACACTACCTATAAGTGTTCTCATTTAATATCTATTGTATACTCGAATTTTTTCGTTTCATTCATTCGCATTTCGTGACTAAGTAATGTGTGTAACACAATGCTAGCGACAGACTGCAGCAGCACGACAGTGAACTGAAAATGGCGTTGTGAATCCTACTACATRAACGTTTGTGAGAGGGCAGCAACATAACAATGGCCGGAATGTACACAAAACAACGCAGTTGTCCACTTTGCATGTACACAATTTCGATGTGGCCATACTAATACCTTGCACTTCAATGAAATTTTAATATTTTGTTCAAAGTGAAATTTTTAATCAAAAAATTTATACATAGGTAAATTTATTTGTTTTAAATTATCAATGGTTATTATAAATGATGTAACAGAGCTATTTTATGCTTTTATTTGTAAAATAACGTCAAGTTTGTTAGAGCTGTGAATAATTTTACATTTTACATATTAGTGGCATCACCACTCTACCTCATCTCTCTATCTTCCATTCTACTGTCGTCCTACTGTCGTTGGCAAATATAGGATCAAACTGAAGTTAGCGACGACAACTGTCGGCCTGAAATCGTGTAGTGGTGCAGCTGTCAAAATAGGTCCGTCCATAAGAACGTGTGTATTTTAATATTTGACAGATGTCGTTTGCAGTCTGTCGCGAGCATTGTATTCCACATATGTCACCGTAACCTATTTCACACGGAAGTACTCGTCCGATTAATCACGAAATATACATACATATATGTTTAACGCTGAATTGTCGAATGTTTTAAGACCGCAGCAAGTCACACATTGCGCGTTACCAGATTAGCACATATCGAAGCTTTATAATAATTGCTCTTGCAATTTCAGACACTTTGTTTGTTTCTTAATCTGTTTCGTTTGCAACTTTGTATTCTCCTGCACTCGCAGGAAGTGTAAATTAACGGCTTTTGGTTCTTTCTGCAACACAATTACGAATACTCCAATAAATTTGTGCAACTTCCATAAAAAAATACTTTACACGAAATTCTGATCTGCGTTATGTCCTCTTTTGCTTCTATTTTCATAATTTACAGAACGAGGAGCACCAGCTGAGTCGTGGTTGATCACTATTTGTCATGGCTTTTTCAACGAGCCTGTTGAAATTTATATTTATATTTACAATTTTTAAATGCTAATATAATAATATAAATGGGAGAATTGAGGAATGTGTAGAAGTACACGCAAGTAAGGAAAGTTCTCTGATCGCCATTCACTTGGGAGTGGTCAGAAACGATTCTTTTACATATGACTCAAGCACCTCACTAATTCCGGTCTTTGACCAAGTATCCTCTGGGTAGCCTAAGAACATCCGTTTGAAGGCGAGCTAAAGTGAGAAGCCGAAACATCCCCTCCACAGGATTAAGCGCTGGGTTTGGGACCCGCCACGTAAAAAATCATACCAATGAAAAGGAACAACAAGCGTTGGATGTATTACCCGCTTTTGATGACGACATTGGCAAACGAAATAAGGACTACGAATTGATTGCATGTACCTGGAATGTCCGGTCCCTTAATAGGGAAAGTGCCGCTGCCCAGCTGGTTGATGTCCTCGTGAAAATAAAGGCTGCCGTCCACGAAATGCGATGGACGGGACAAGGACAGAGACGACTAGATCCTTGTGGCATTTACTACAATGGCCATATAAAGGAGCGCAAGTTTGGTGTGGGATTCGTAGTGGGAGAGGGACTCCGCCGCCGAGCGAGGTTCTTCAATTTTGGGCCCACGCCCCGACGCAAGAGAAGGACGATGTGATCAAAGATACCTTCCATGAGCGCTTGAAGCGTACTTATGAGAACTGGCCCCGCCACGATGTCAAAATCGTGCTTGGCGACTTTAACGCCAGGGTGGGCAAAGAAGGTATCATTGGCACTACGGTCGGTAAATTCAGCCTTCACGACGAAACATCCCCAAATGGGTTGAGGCTGGTCGACTTCGTCGGGGCCCGAAATATGGTTTTCTGTGGTATTAGATTACAGCAAAAGAAAATATATCAAGCTACCTGGCTGTCTCCGTATCGAAAAGCAATCAGCCAGATCGATCATGATGCCATAGACGGAAGACACGTCTCCAGTGTTATAGACGTGCGTACGCTCCGAGGTCCTAACATCGACTCGATATCATCGGCCTCAACATCCGCGCCGTTAGTTCTGCTTTCTCCAGACTGGACAAAATATCTCCTGTCATCAAACAAACACTCGTCGCACTCGCGACTTGGCTCTGACGTCACTGTTGACAGTCATAACTTTGAAGTCGTACATAATTTCATCTATCTTGGGACCAGCGTAAACACCACCAATAATGTCAGTCTTGAAATCCAACGCAGGATAACTCTTGCCAGCAGATGCTACTTCGGACTGAGTAGGCAATTGTTAAGTTATGCAGCTCCAATTATTTTCTCCAGCAGCAGATTGAAGAAATCGCACGATGGGAGTCGCCTTGTCTGAAACGTCGTTTGGCATCGAACGGCTCGGGGAGGTCCTTCCCGATCCTGACGGAGCTTTTGGTGTTGCTCAACGTCAATTTACACAGCCGTATTAGTTTTGCGGGGATACCAAATTCAGACATCTCGGCATAAAGGCAGCTCCTTTTCGTGCTGTCGAAAGCAGCTTTGAAATCGACGAAGAGGTGGTGAGTGTCGATTCTCCTTTTACGGGTCTTTTCCAAGATTTGGCGCATGGTGAATATCTGGTCGGTTGTTGATTTGCCAGGTCTAAAGCCACACTGATAAGGTCCAATCAGTTTGTTGACGGTGGACTTAAAGCTTTCACACAATACACTCGATAGAACCTTATACGCGACGTTAAGAAGGCTTATCGCAGGGTCGTCGGCGCAGATTGTGGGGTCTCCCTTTTCGTGGATTGGGCATAGCACACTTAAATTCCAATCGTTGGGCCGTGTTTGAATAGCTCGGCCGGCAATCCATCGGCCCCCGCTGCTTTGTTGTTTTTCAGGCGGGTAATTGCTATTCGAACTCCTTCATGGTAGGGCAATAGATCGTCTGCTCCATCGTCATCGATTGCGGAATCGGGTTCACCTTCTCCTGGCGTTGTACGTTCACTTATTTTTGTAGAATTTTCGAGCATTAACCCTGTCGGCCAGCTTATCAAGCTCTTCACACTCATGCATTTCGACCTCTTTCTTTTCCTGTCTGAAAATGCGTCTCGTAACGTTGCGAGGTAGGCAGATTGTTTCTCTCTGCTCTTTTGCACTTTCCGAAAACCAATGGTTTCGGTTGCAGCTGTACGTAAGGAGTTTGAAATGCCGTCCCACAGTTCTCTTATACCGAGTGGTTGACGAGTGCTCTCAGAGAGCAGGAGTGAAATCCGAGTAGAAAATCGTTCGGCTGTCTGTTGTGATTGCAGCTTATCGACGTCGAACCTTCCTAGTGTTTGTTGGCGTGCGTTTTTTGCTGCACAGAGGCGGGTGCGAGTCTTGGCTCTAACGAGATAGTGGTCCGAGTCGATGTTAGGACGTCGGAGCGCACGCAAATCTAAAACACTGGGGACGTGTCTTCCGTCTATCACAACATGATCGATCTGGTTAGTGGTTTTTCGATCCGGAGACAGCCAGGTAGCTTAATGATTTAAAATTTCAGATCTCGAAAATTGTATTATTGGTTTTATAGAGGCTATACAAGTACATGTGTGATACCTCTACATAGGACGATATACGCCGTATAAAGTTATCCGGAAGTTCGAAATACTTTATATTAGATAAATGGTGACTGAGGTCAATATAGACCCAATTCAAGCAATTTTTCTCATTTAGACGTATAATGTCAACTGTAGGTATGGGGATTATTGTTACTGAAGGGCCGCACAGAAACCTTCGGGAATACACTCTGAAGGCGCTATTCAAGGAAATTTTATCCTATTGTATTAATTGGTGCTTTGTATGTATACCGGAATGTGAGAGAAGCACATGGAATTTCAAATAGTGTTATATGGGAAGTAGGCCGATTTCCCTAATATTTGTAATATAACAAAATAATATTTAAAAATTATTATTTACAGAATTTGGTGGATTCTGGTATCGGTTTTTAATGTTGGCAATCTCACTTTGCTGTTAGCACAACACATTCCATGCGTTTCAGCTTGGGACTTAGCCCGTTCACAATGTGGACAAATTGCGTTCATTATTCCAATGTATTCGTACATACTACATATACTCAATCTGACTGTTGTAATTAAATGTAGCATGCATCATTTCAGCCAAACAGTGCTACGTATTCGTGATCGCCGTTACAAAAACTGTGATAAATTAAAAACCACCCGACGGATTTTGTGCAAAGTTCACATAAACCATCGAAACAAA